TTATTTGTTTCTATTGCCGAATGTTTATTGACCTACAACTTGAAAGCGGATACAAAAAAAGCAATATAAAAGTTGAAACGAATCCTAGCCCCGCTTGCTAAATCTACAATTAGATTTTCACCACGTGCTACTGACACTCCATCCCTCAGCCTAGTTTAGCTCTCCTTCTGATTGAGTAATCGCCCTTGCATCTACTGCTGTTACAATAATTGCAAATGCCACTCAGGCATTCTCATTCTAGATTATTGCCCAACGCCAAACTCCAGATTCTTCTAATATTGTAGAGCAAGCGAAACAAAAAGAAGCGCTGTTCCGTGACCTTAATATATGAACGGACATTGCCACGGGGCTTGAGAAAAGACCAAGTGAAACTGAGACTGAGCGTAGCATCATAGGCTGGATATCGCCTACATTGTCAAAAGATACACTGTGGTGTGGGCGTTTATGTGGGTGTGGGTGAGTCTGAGATGCATTTTCCCGCCAAAAAAAGATCTGTGACACTAATTTGACGATCGTTTTCATATGGATGAATTTAGATTTTGCATTTTGATTAACCACGTTTGATCGCTCGTATGTTTGTACCGACTGCATGCATCCCTTGGTTTTGTTCGGGCAAAGTGTAATAAACCTACCGTGGTGCAAAATGTATACAGTGTTTTTCAACATATACATTTCTCGCGCAATTCAAATTTTACACCATGACGTAGTTGACTCGGCGATACAAATATGTTTCCGGGTTAAATAGCTCTCCAGGATTAAGTATCGCCTGGAAACATGATTCTTGAATTCCAACAACGCTACTAGTCGATGAATTAAAAGAAAGAGATTAATTGGACTTTTTTCACGTCTTATACCTCAAAACCATGACAACAGCTGTTAAATCGGTGCAAACATTTCAATATCAAGATCCTCTCTCTCACAATAAGAAAAACAGACACATTCTTCTGGAATCCTTCCTTTACTTTCCATGCATATAGAGCTCATTGTATACTACTGTACAAGTCACCCCTTTTTTGAAGTGCCACTTCAATAAATTGTGATACCTTTATATTAAACATCCAAATTTGATGTTCATTTCTTCCCTGCCCTTCTCTAACTCTCCCTTTCATCTACTTCATATTTTTCATCTTGAATTCATTATCTTTGCCATTAAATTCTGCCGTCGTCCCTACACACCAGCAAACAAAGACAATGTACATTTGGGAATATAAAAGCAAATTATGATAAGATGACTCGTTTCTAAGAAGACCGAAATTTGTTCGTATCACCATGTGGTCACGTCCATTTATTATAAATTCAGTTTGCCCTAAAGCACAGGGTCTGGTCGGTTTGCTAATGCATCGTCAGGATCCGGTTTACCAGCAGTCTCGGGACTGGACAGCAAACCGATAGAAAGTTAGATCGAGAGAGAGGGAGAGAGAGAGAGAGAGAGAGAGAGAGAGAGAGAGAAGGGGAGGGAGAAAGAGAGAGAGAAAAAAATATAAATATAAAAAATAGAGAGAGAGAAAGATAGAAATATATAGATAGGAAAAATAGAGAGAGAAAGAAAGAGAGAGAGAGAAAGAGACTGAGACAGAGAGAAAGAGAGGTAGACAGACACAGAGGGAGAGAGAGAGTAAGAAAGATAGAGTAAGACTAGCAACAACAGTGAAAACGAGACATACAGACAAACATCCAGATACAGTAAACAGGAAGAGATTATGGAGAGGGGAATTTAGAGAGAGAGTGATTGGAATAATATAGAGTTACAATCACGGGAGACATTTCATAACAATAATTGGTGGGAAAAGAATACAAAGAACTCAGAAAAGGTGATTAGGAAAAGTGAAATGTGACTAGTCTACCTGTCAACAACAACATCCATTTCGGAATAATACTGCTATCTTTTGCTAACACACTTTAATATCAGTCTCACGTTTATTTTGTCAATACTGGTTTCCAATTTGGATCTGCGTGTAGTTAATTACATCACGTGTATTCACCTCACTAATAGCTCAAAATTGAAAAAAAAATGTCGTCAACATAATTATACTGTCTAAACATTATCGTTACCGAGTCTAACAACAAAAGAGAGCACAGTTCCCAAATATCATAACAAATGTCAATTTTGTTGTAGATTTATACATGTATTTTGAGCGTCTCTGGTGGTTCACCTTAATACACCCACGTTTTAACTGCTTGAACGTCTTTGTGATTAATGCAGATTTTTTTTTAAATGGCGATAAACAAGAGGTGGGAGGAAATCAAAGATCCTAAACCATTGCCCCACCCATACCATTCCATGTGATAGGTAGATCGGCAGAAGGGTAACATAATTATGGCGCCTTTAAAATATTTGTTTTAAATGGGCAGTTTGGGCACGTATTGTGGAATTTTGCGGTTTTCAAACAGTTCACTCCCCTACTCTCTACTTCTCATATTTCTGGAAACGACTATACAGTTAAAATTTTGAGAAACTATGTGTAAGCTTTTATTTCTCACATTGCACCCCTCCCGCATTTTACCCTTTTACCAGTTGACCCCCCCCCCCTCATCGCACCCCTTATTACCATTGTGCCGCCGCAAATGCTCCTGCCATTTTAGCAAGCAACCAATCAAAATCAAGACTATAAATTGATTTTCCAAAGTTTCTCATGCCCTGGTCATCGACCTCACTTTATTTCTACTACCGTCAGATTGATTATTCCTTAATGATTAACCGATCTGACTTCCCCCCCCCCATCTCTCTCTCTTTCTCCCTTGCCATTTCTTTGTATTTGTCTTTAAATCCAATCCTTACTATATGTCCCCTTTTTCTTACCCGTTTTTATTTAGAAGGATCTTACCCTAGCCTCTATTTTCTGATTAACTCAGACCAATCGTGTTATAATTGTAATGCATGCGGTACGTCAAACACATTAACGCACACCCAACGAGTACCACTACGCGCCCAAATGAAAATTATTTTCTTCTTTTGGGACACACGTGACATCTAGGTCGCTCTAATTGGGTCAATGACTTCGAGAATCTGGAAAATTGGCGACGCCTCGCCGCCATTTTGAATGAGTCGGGAGTGATTGGGAGAAAGAAAGACGTCATGAGCTTCGGGCTCATCATACTGAAAGAATGATAGATATGGGTTCCTTTCGATGCTCAGGCAAGCAGTTCATGTCTCTATTCATTCTTATCATAGCAGAACTCGGCTACATCAAAACGTGGCCGCTTTTATTTCGCAAAATGGCTTTTAGATTGAAATAACCTCTTGCATGTTCAACATTCAGAACTGTTTTCAGCATCCGAGACAGTCTATTTGTTACACTCGATCTCGTCACCACATAGTGATTTGAAATGAGAGATCTTTTTCTTGATCCTGTTGACTATTCTAGTCGCCTTCCATGGTTTAATCGCGTTTCGGTAATCAGAATGTAGGCTAAACACATTAGCTCTTGTAATGTCGGGCAAAACGGTGCAAGCGTGGTCGTCAGGGGCTATTAACCTTTAGCTCGTGTTTATGGAGGGAATATGCAATGAGACCTTAATATATGTTGCAACAGGGCTATTGTCTGCCTGTAATTAAGGAGCTAGATCGTAAAGCGCGTTGCGATAATTTGTTATAATTCAAAGATCCAATTTCCACTTTTTGTTTTATAATGTTATATGGAGATACTGCTAAGAGCACATGTAATTCTATAAAACAGCGTTCTGTCCACAAACTTGTCTTCCATATATCAGGAGCGTTATTTAATATTTTGTTTGTGTTGGATAATTTTCAAAGGAAGAATACTACCGTGGTAGATGGAAACAAAATAATATGGCCAACCTGAACATCCCACCCCCCCCCCACAAAACACACCAAAAAAACAAAGACTACAAAGGAGTTTTTAAAGCTACAATCCACTCCGATGAAACTTTGATGAGACCAGTGCATTTGAGGGCCACATATAGACATTATCATAGATCCCAAAGGATGCCAGCAGATCTTTTTTCAAATATTGAATCCATCAATGTCAATACCTTACCCTAGATTTGAATTGGTTCGAACTTTATCCATCACAGCGGCACAATGTGATGCGTCCAAACCAGTGCCACCAAATAACTTGGAGCTTCCTCCACACGGGTGCCGGAAAACAAAATTGGCGCCACTGCAAGTATCATTATGTACGCATTGATCCTCATTCAATAGAAAAACGATCGTATCTTTTATCACTGAGGTAGAATCATGACGCGTTCTTTTTTTTAATCCCTGGAAATGTGTTCTCTCTCTCTCTCTCTCTCTTAATCTTGCTCACTCCGTGGATCGTATTCCATCTTATAATTCCGTGACACAACAGTGCGTTTAGATTGCAAAAGAAAAAGTGGACCAGGGTTTCTTTCAGATCATTTTAGATTATGTATGATTGTTCCAGACTTTGTGTCGCAACAATTTTCATCATGAAATTGTTTTCATGAGTTTATATCTCGATCTTTTATGACCTATTAACAAAAAGAAAAGTAGGATATGTATATAAAAGTTTAAGCTTTTGGCAGAGTTTTGTTCTACAGTTCCCTTTATGGATACATGAGACCATTATTACTTGATAGAAACACCCTACATGTTTATCTGCTAAGCACGAAGTACGGCTTTCGACCGGTCGTGATATAGGAGCACGGGTGAACGCCCTACCAGTTCTCTGCAGACGATCTATTTTATTTGTCTCATATAAGTTCATTTTTCTCAATCAAAGCAAATGACATAACCTTTCTGCAAATAGTTTGAAATCCTTATTCGAACGCATTGTATTGAGCCCTTTAAAATGAGAAGATGAATATATAGCCTCAAGCCTAAAATGTAGAGTATGTTTGTCATGTGCCATGGATCTTGCAAATGTATTTTCTGTATTGATATGATTAGGGCAGAAACATGTTAAACCAATTACCGCATGATGTTTGAAATTTTTGTAAAAGAATTTTATAAAAGAATTAAAGTGCTGTGATACGGTTAAATTATTAATTTGTTTCTTTAAACTCTTCATTGATTACAGGTCGTAGGGATATACTATGGAGCCAAGAGACTATATGAACCGGTCCCTGGGAAGACGATTGATTGGCCTGGCACCGTGATTCCACCAGATACACCCAAATGTGGATTTGAAAATGAGTTGTGCCCGGCAACAGACAACAGTAAGTCAAAACCTTCAATCAAATCACTGGGCGTTCTGGGACGGGTTTTGACTTCCAGTTTGATATCCTCACTGTCTAGGTTGACACAATTTTAGAAAAGATTACGATGACATTCCATACCCCTAAATCGATTTGCATGCAGATAGGAGGTGAACCTTTTCCGAAATACCCGAATGATAAACTCGGTCAGCCTCGGAATGAAAGCATCAATTTTATATGGGTCAGAGTATCTATACGGAATGGCGGATTGAGGGGTACATAACCGGTCCATGCCCCCTTTCTAAATCGAAATCCTGCATATCTGAGTAAGCATATATCATGTACCCCTTATTGTGTTTTTGTTCCCTCATTTCCTAACTTTTCACACTTTTCTTGTCTTTGATCATCTCATGTCTACAGTACCTCATATTACCATCATTAAAGCCCCTCTAAAGCGTTGGGAGCCCCACATTTGCCATAAGCTGGATGACAACATTTCACTTTGATTCTATAGTGATGTGAAAGAGGATGGCATTAAACACATTTCTGCAAAGATTTTTCCCCTAAAAAAGCGTGTTTAAAGTCAAATATGGATAAAAGAATACAAAATTTGGGTTTTCTGTTGTACGCAGAAAACCAAATTCTTTTGATCTTTCCTCAATATTTGTCTTCAAACAAATTTGTTTGGAAAATGTTTGCAGTAGTATGTCTTAAAGACAACCTCGTTCAAACAAGTTTGACATTCATGTGTATTAATAATTTATTTAAAAAAATTGTCAAAGAAAGGAACTAGGCTCGACTAGCACTTGTTCTAACTTCTAGTTCGCATTAACAACTTCACCTTAATATTAGTTACACACATATTTACGTGTAAAGGTTTATATCTTTTGTACATTTAATAGTATGCAGAGCTATGTCTAAATATCGTTTTATAACCATTACTGTTGGATGTTCAATCGACATTACTCTTATGTTATGTTTACATGTATCTAATGTTTGATTGCATGATTGTTCATAATATAATGCACTGCCATTATTGTGATGTGTTGTTGTAAATAAATTCAAATACAAATTCAAATTCAACAAAGAGTCGCATTACTAGTCGCTCCATTCTGACTGGGGAAGATAAGAATTTGGCAAAATAATCGCCGTATTGACCAACATTAACGAATGATTACATCATTATACAATTTAAGTGAAATGTTGCCATCGAATTTGTGGGGCTCCAAACACTTTAGAGGGGCTTCAATAAACTTGCCTGTAGAAATCCAATTTGCTATTCTTGCTCAACCATGCTGTTTATGCTGGAACGTGAAGAATGCAGTTACATCATGGCTTTCCGTTTAAAGGTCTCTCGAGCTTACCATTCAATCTAAACATGATGGAGAAACTTTATTCCCCAATCCTTCCGATGGTCAGCACGATAATTATGTGGGTCATCTTTTGCAAATCCTTCCCGAATCCACAGATTGGGAGTTAGTAATACAGATTTATTTTTAATTTGTTGCAGTTAATTGTTACAGTACAATTGTAAAACAAGTTCACCGATTGTATTTTCTAAAAATTAGTCAGGGTTAGATTAGGGTTTGTTTAAGTTTTTTAAAAGAACCCAAATCTGATGCTCCAAAGACCTCATAATAAAAATAATTTAAGGGCAATCACCCATGGCATTGTGTAATATGTGATCATCATTATTCACATAGAGAAAGTTTCATGTTCAGTAATGTAGTTTTAATTCGATTATAATTTTCAATCAAAACTGATTCTCTCCGGGGCCTTATCTGATGTTCTTAACGATTAATGGAAAGGTTCATCATCATAATGTGCGATGATTAATGTTGGTTCTTACCGAGGTTTGGCAGGCACGCCATTGATTTCCTCCGGGACCTCATCAGTATATGAAAGATTTCAGAGCGAAACTTCATCGACCTACTAGCCTCAATTAAGATATACAATCATCTCGGCTCAGTGGTGGATGACAATTAATGGTCCAAAACTGTCGAATCGACAGGTGTAACACTACAGAACACTAAACATCCACGTTTCATCCACGTAATTAATATTTTTGAGGAAAAAAGAAAATTCAGAAGTAATTTAGCGCTGGTTGCTCACTTTTCATCATGAGCGTAATCAGCAGCATGAACCGTTGATATTGCACTGATGGCTTCCATAATGTTCCTAATTGATTAACGTGGTTCAAATCAACCAAAGTTTGTTACCAATATCCGACGGTGCCTGGAATGAAAAAGCATCTAACTCATCCGTTCAAATTATTGCCATTTTTATTTCCCTGGCGGCTTACAATGTTCGTACACTCATTAATTCATTTTGAGGACTGAAACGAGATACTAACAACTTTGCCCTTGAAAAAAAAGTAATACCTGAATACTGTTTCGTTGGTTTTGTTTGTTTATTTTTGATACATGAACTCTTTGTTCAAGCATTTTTGTCTAATTTGTATCTACTTTTTCATTATATAATTTCACCAACACTCTAAAAGTTTGTGAGTGGATACTTGTGGCTAAGCCACATAATATCATCGAAAGCCTGCAAATTATTTCCTTCACTTATCAAATATTAATGAATGCTGGTTTTGTTATAAATGTTAAGGCTACAAAAACGCATATCTATTGGACAATATTTCAGTTGCAGCGTCCAAAAACAGCGAAAAAGCAATCAATTTAAGAGTAACGTTATTGTTACATTCATATTTATACATAAAATGGATCAACCGTCACATATCACAAAAACAATTCTTGCAATGAAGAATGTAATAAATCATGAATATTTTGTTTTGCCTCAGTTCAATCATAGGAAATGTATTTTTATTTTTTTCTATAGAGGTAAGATTATGTTTTAGTAGAATTCCGTTTTTTTCTTTTAGACTCTGTAATTTTGATACACAACCTTCGTGATTGCTATATTGTTTGTACCTTTGTATAACTGACTAATCTTCATGTTTGTGTTCCATCGTTTCATTCAGGTCCTATGACTCTATGGATCATGGGAGCGATGGCCATCATCATTCTAAGTGCTGTTGTCATTATCCTCTTTGTATTGCGGTAAGTTGAAGAGAACCTCCACACCCTACTGAGACAGACTTTAACAAAAAAGGGAAAATGAAGTGTGTTTCATTACAGTAAGAGAGACATAATGGATTGGTAGTGATCTGTCTAGCCGCACTGTTTCCCCATGAATGGAAACGACTCATCGGCTGCTCAGCCTGATGTGAATTCCCGTAATAACCATAATAGCTTGGGATGACGACATGTTTGTGTTTGCTTAGTATTAGAATGTGAGTGCGTACGACGTGACAGTCTCACTCCTGCCTTTACCTTAATGGCATTGCTTCCCGAATAGGCGGGCAAAGGCGATTCAGCTCAGCTTGGTGAACACTTCTCTCATGTTAATATTTTCGAGGGGTTTAATTTTGCACTTTTGCAATTACAGTACCAGGCGAGAATACGATGGTTGCCTGAACATTGGTGGACCCTGGGCGTATCAAAGATATTGAAACCATAAACATCTAAATGCAAATAAATCTGTGTAGTACCCCACTCACTCACACCGCCAGGCAAACTTTGAACTGAACGATCACATACAAAACCTTTGCCATCCTGGCTGATGTAATTAAGTTTAGGTTCAGTATATCATGTGTCTCTTGTTAACTCGTATGTGTGACTCGGATAACAACATTCGAACTCCAAAAACAATTCCTTTGACAGCTTTACAAAACAATGTGACCACGTTATACATGTCAAATGGTATTAAGACATAATTTGACATGTGGGGTTCATCTTACATCTTTACCTTTCACAACAAATCATTTCACACAACATAAATATTTTCACCCCAGAAAACTGGTACATTTCTCAACCTTTTTCGTTTTTAGGATGCACATCGTTACATAAGGCTGTCAGGAATGACAATAGCATTACAAAAACTTGACGACCATGTAAATTTGGCATTCTAATCACGGTCCTAGCTCCCGGTTCTTCTTTCCTTTATACTCCTGGCGGCCTCATTTCGTAGAACAACTTCTTTTTGCTTTTCTTACGGTGGAGGCATACATTTCATTAAATTGTATGGTCCATTGTTATCTCTCTTTAAAACTTCATGGATTAAGTTACTCTGTACTCATGGTGTAATTTCTTTACTTTGCCAACGGCGATGCATAGTCAGATTGGGAAAAAAATAAACTACCGTGACTACGGGAATGAAATATGTAGGGATGTGTCAACCTTTTTCAATTCCTAATACCTGTATTTTCTCTTTTTATTTCGAAACGTACAACCTTATACCCTTTTTACAGGTAGCAAGATAAGTATGGAAACGGATCATGTGGTATCAGTGACCGATTTCTCTTATTGAAAAGAGACCGCTATTATAATATCAATATCAGAATAGAGACGAGGTGGGAACCTTGAAGACTGTAAAATATATCTTTTTATCAATATACGCTCAAGACTTCATGATAATCCTTTTGAGTTTGTTCCTCGCACCCGATCCTCCACCCATTTCTTCTTCTCCACGTTTCTCTTTCCTATCTTTCATATGTATCTCATCTCATTCTCTATCTTTCTAAACATGTTAGTCTCTCTTTCTAGATCTCAAACGCTCTCCATTCTGTTTCTTTCTCTCTCTCTCTCTCTCTCTCTCTCTCTCTTCTTTCTCGATTTATGTATCTGCCTTTCTTTCAAAATATCCTACCTCATCCTTCTTTTTGTATCGCTCGCTCTCTCTCTCTCTCTCTCTCTCTCTCTCTCTCTCTATCTCACCCTCTCTCTTTCTCCTCTTGCGGTTGAGCTATGGAGGCTTAATATATCTAAAAGCGGCCATTGTCAAGCTGGTACACATAAAAATTATTACAAAAAGAAAGAAGAAGAAAAAACAACATTGTAAACTGTTCAATCGTTATACATCTCACCACCCCAATACACTAAATCACCGAAAAGCTAAGAGATGATCATACTACCCATTGTTATTTAATCACCGTCAAAGTCTGGCTGTGAAACGCATTCTGTCTTGAATGATTAACCACGAATGTGTCGGCATCGCTTCTTGATGTAAAAGTGTTACTTCCAATTACCTGGTCCAGCATTTAAAGCCACACCAGAACACGGTGTCATAAAAAAAGCGTAGTCACGTGGATAGAAATTGGTTGAAAAATATACATGTAGTATATGCATTATCATTGCAACAAACATGGGGTCATTTTTGTTTCAGAGAGTGACGAGAGAATGAAATAATCTATACATGTATCATGTGAACTCTTCTCCGTTTCGCTGTTGTCAGTTACTCTTCTTTCTCTGATACATTCAAATGATCATTATGTGGGTCAAGGGTTGTTGTCGGCGCAGTGAAGTTTCACCATCACTAACCGGACTTATCATACAGAGGCTGAACAAAGGGCCTCTGCTTTTATTTTCAAGGGTATACTTAAAACCTGTAAAACACCGCAGAGATTTTGTTGATTTTTGTTTTGTTTGCCTTCACAGATATGATGTGCTATCTCGTACATTTTTTAATGTTTCATCTATTCAATGCCATAATTATGCTCATAGACCTACGCCAACTTCCTTGATTTTTTTCTTTCAATGTTGTCCTATCTTTTTTTATGTGATCAAAGATGCAGAGCCTTCACGTAAAAACGCTTACACCGGACGCTGAACCCAAAACTTAAAATTATACCAAGAAAGTATTTTCTTTCTTCTAAAATTAACTGGTTGCTTTTGGTTAAAACAAAATATCACCAATTATGTTCCCTTTAAGTTAACTGTTTTTTCATGAATAAATTTTTCATATCGTTTCTCAAGATGGGGCCTCAACGTCTTTACAAATAGGCACGATTCATACCTTTAAAAGGCATTCAAACGGTCTAAACGTTTCCAATAATGACATAGCCCCTCTTCCCATAGCATGGTAGTTAATCGACTGATCCTTTAATGCCGAGCCTTTATTCGCTTGCATGAACCTCCCCCATCATCGCCGACCTGGAGCTCGATACCGTGAAACAAACATGCCGCCAAGCTCCTGGGAACGCCCTCTGACAATATCCCGATGTCTGCAGTCAGTCCCAGGACACCAAGGGTTCCCGCCTTCAGCTTCAGTCTGGCCGTATAACAAGATAGAACCTTGCATGGTAGAACGATGAAAAGAGGCTCGACTGAGAAGTCAGTGATGATACCTTGGTGGTAATGATTAGACAACCACCCTCAACAGCAATCACATGCATGGGTTCATGGCGGGTCAACTTCACTCAGATTAGTCTCCATCAAATTTTGAAATTTATGGAGCTATGATAATTTGATTTTGGTCTCGGATGACATTTTATTGCAAATCATCGTATGATATATTAGGATATTTTAGAGAGAGAGAGAGAGAGAGAGAGAGATTTACCTGGAACCGAGAAATCCATTATCTCTTTTGGAATGCCTTTCAGATCATAACGCGACGAATAATCTTATTACGATAAGCTTCGATCAGAGATTATGTCGACTGACCATGTGTTTTTTAATGTTCTTGGGTACTGTTTTTCACCTCCTTCATTGCGTGCTTTTATTTCTCTCTCAAACATTTTTAATAATCGATAGTGATCAAACCTGCCATGCTTTCAGTGCTAACATAAATGCATGGAGAGGCAGAGAGAGAAAAAAACATACATGCACGGATTAACAAATCATATTTCACTACGCTTCGTAACGTTATAAATCATCAGAGTACATTTATTTACACAAGTGTTGAAAAGTAGTACTTGACCATGCTGAACCCCGCACACCGGAAAACTTGACAACGAATCCTCCATAAATCGTGTCGTAAACATCGCAATTCAAATAACATTGCTAATATTTTTTTGCATAACCTGAAATAAAGTGAGAAATTGCCATTTGTCTATTGAGTCCCTATCCTGTGACTAGAGTATTAAAAATGAACACAAACTATAAACAATATACAAAAAATTTAAAAAAAATAAAGAAAAACGCAACTCGTGTGCTCTCTCTCTCTCTCTCTCTCTCTCAAGCAAAGTATGGTATCTTCGAAGCTCTGTTCTAAATTACTATGAAATAAGGATCATTCCATTCTCCTTCCGGTCTAGTCACTTGTTATTAATTTCGTCATTCACTGATGAGAAAGGAGCTTTCAAAGAAATCGACGTGCGGTTGTAATATATTGATGTGACAACTATGTCTTGAGTAGCGAATTCAGTAATTGGTGCCGCAGTCAAGACTTCCACCATGACGACTTTCAAGTCGACTTCGAGGTGATTGCACTCGTAATCGGAAAATGTTCATAATTCAACTCAATAATGCAGATTGGTAATTCCTTGGGAGAGCCCCTCCGTAATGAGAAACTTATGAAAATCTCGAAATGACTCGACTGTAAAAGTATCAAACCAGTCAGGCACGGCGCACGGGTAAAACAAGCAGTCTAAAAATAACTTGAGCGCGAAACACCCCCCCCCCCCCTATCCCCGCTCCGCGTCCCCCCTGTCATTCCCCTCTCTCCCATCTTTAATCCCAATCGCAGAAAGATGGATTAGGAAGAGAGGGAATGCATATAATGCCAGTGAACTGATTAAGAAGGAGAGGTAGATTTAGAAGGTAATCTAATTCGTAATAATGTCATTACAGTGCGGATTGCAGGAGAGCTTAAGAAAGCCAAACAATTACGTGGTAGCCTAAACGTGGATCGGGCCCGTAGAACAGGGGATAACCTACTGATTTCTTCAGACGTCTCTCAGAAGTAGTAATTCTTTTCTCCATGCCCTACTTTCGGACGTGATGTTTGCTTTTCGGCAGGGTTTAAACATAAAAATGAATTGTGTCAGTGATTTTGAATTGAGTCGCACTGACAAACTGATTGAACATGAAGAAAATAATAAAGACATTCTGCTTGTGTGTGACGACAGCCATTCGTTTAGATTCTTTCCATGCACATGACTATTTCATGGCAATGAAGACCCTTTGTCTGATTTCATTAAAAAAAAAATCTTTAACAATTTATTTAGATTCAATGAATACGGCGAGTAAAATGGATTTATGAGGTTCAGACAAAATGCTGCTGCATTACCACATGCATAATCGCGATTATGCCCACCATAGTAAATGAGTTATACCTTTTCCTCTCACGTATTGAGCAAAGTGAGATAGAAGAAGGAAAAATACGTGCAAGAAATGACAAAGTATACACAATTTAAAAGGTAGAAATAGGTATAAAACCCTTTTACCAAATCATCGATCGGAATCGTGAGGTAACAACCTTTTTAGTAGCAAAATAGCACCGAATTTCAATTAAGCGACTTAAGGGTAAGATAAAAACACACTATTGAATTGCCTTTAGAAAAAAAAGTAACGTTCAAATTATGTGATACGTCATTGTCATGTCAATAGATGACCTTAATTAAGGTTGATTTGTATGGTATTTGTTAAGTCTCTGCGATAATTATATCTTAAAGGGATTGGGTAACTTTGTCTCAGATTCTGAAACAAAATCCTGGATTTAGCTCATGCTGCAATGATAATTATAAACCTCTATGTCAGTCAGGAATCCCATGACTTTTACAAGCCGATCGCCTGTCTGATTATCAAGATATTTATGATTGGAAATCGAAATCAAATTTTGCGTTTTCCTAATGGTTTTCATAACACTACATTTTATTGAGGGAAAACGAGTATGGTAAAACCGGTCACTCCAAGATTTTCACTTTTTAGAGGCACTTCTTGATCATAAAGCGCAATTTTTAGGGCTTCAATATCACACCATATCACAGACGCTGATAACACGTAGGGTCGTGCATCTCAGATTTAACATTGTTAAACGATGCCTTTAAGGCCAAAATGTAGATTGCAGATTGTGCAGAGTTTCATGCAGTTTGTCCAAACAACAACACTAACGAGAATACTAAAGGTCAAGTAAATTGACCTACTTTTTCCCCAATTCTTACAGGATTCGTCAATACTTATTTGTTTTTTATTTCTATTTGTAGGAAATACCGGTTGGAGAGAGAGTTGTCTAACATGTCGTGGCGAATACGATGGGAGGACATCAGTTTCAATAACAAAGGAGATAAGATGCGTAAGCTTGGCAGTCGAATGAGTCTTGCTTCGGTAAGTCAAAAAATGATAGAGACCTTCAATGTCAAAAGGGACTAAGTAACAAATTACACGAATGTCACATGTTTCTCGTTAGGAGGAATCAATTAAAAAGTATTTATTACAATATTTGTGATTTTGACGGTGTGAAAATTGAATAGGCTCTTGATGTTAACGACATATCATGCTCTTTAATGTGTCAGGTTTTGGGCAATTTTACCCGGGTATTTTACATTTTTTTGTGTACACGTCACTTGCGGCCGTTTGGCAGAATCGTCATGACCTCTATACCAAAATATAAAAATAACCTTGTCTTATTGTTTAGTATTGAACGAGTTGTCTGTAGCTTTGTTTCATTCCTAAATAAGATCCGACTATGTCTGATTCTTCTGCAGAAAAGAGAAACAGAGAAGAAGAAAGAGAGAGTAGAAATTGCTTTGAATGAACGAGAAATTGGATTATTATTGGCCTTGCCAACGGATATGAATATATTTGTATGTGCTAGCGTATTTGAAAGGGAAGAGAAGGGCACATGGAAATATGCCCCCTTGCCCTCTGATAAATTTTCAACTGCTGCCGATGAATAATATTTTTTTCTTTCTCTAGCTCAATTGTGACGCGTCTTTTGACAATAAAAACTCTTTAGTTTGGTCTATTAAAAAATAAAATCAAGTTTTCCGCTCGATCACCATGTACGCTCATATAACCGCAAACTGTAGTTGCTATCCTCAAGATTAAAAGAATTATGACAGCGAATGGAGTCAAACAAAAGACTACTTAAACAATAGCAGAAACATAGAATATAATGATTTTTATCTAAGAAGTTACATGAATAGAAAAATAAATATTTTCATGAGTTTCGCTTTCATTCGCTCATAGAAACACCATGCACGGAACATTCTTTAATAGGATGAAATGGGGTGTAGACTTTTGTTTTGACTTTTCAAGCTTTTAAACCTTCCATTTAAAGCTGCTCCATTTTCTTCCCTTAAAGGTACTATGTCCCATTTGCAAGCCAAAAAAATGAAAAAGTTAAATTCCAACTGCATTTGAAAGATAAGACTAATTTAGAACTTCCCTAAAAAAGGTGGGGCTTGAAAATGTCTTCAAGTGGGAAAATAACGACTAGTAGTTGTCAAATCTACTTTAGGGCTATAGAGCCCAAAAGTAATAGTCTTGATTTTCAGACAATTGTACCGAATAGTCATACGTTTTGTGCTGCGCAAAGATTCAATCAGTTTAATCTTGGCCATCACAAGAAGTGGGTTATTGATGTAGAAAAATGCTCATGTACCCTTTACAACTCTTTTCATGCATGTTATTACCAAAGAAGAAAAAAAGCCAGTCAGTCACTCAATAGTGTCTGACAGTGAAGTCTAGCAAGTAAACGGGTTTCCTTGCATAATTTGAATATGAGGACACTGCTAACGTTTAAATTTCACAGATAGGACATACATGACAAATTCATAATTCCTGCAAAGTTCTACAGAATTTGAGGTTGGCTGCAAAAGGGACATAGTACCTTTAAAATGATTAATTGGGTGGCTCTCTTTTTTTCTCCCGTTCTCTGCCGCCTCTCTTCAATGTTTCCTGCTCTGAAACTTAGACCTTGGCAGTTAGCATGCAATGTGTAGGAACGTTCATGTATCTCTTTAGGGGATATGAATCATGTTATTACGGATTGTTTTATAACCATAATTATCATCAAGAACTTTTTTCAAGGAGGATATTTGCAATGCAGATTCGTCTACAACACGTGATCGAAAGAATGATCTCGTTTCAAGGATGTTGTAAGAATAGAATACCACTAGCAGTAGTACAGTTATAATAAGTTTATTGGTACAGCCAATCGTATTTTTCGTCGTCGTTAGATGAGCTAGGTGGACTACTATTAGAATTTAAAAACTTCCTTGGCCTTCCATGAGCACAACCATAAGTGCAGTCATCTTATTTTGAATCAGTAATATCTTTGTTAAATATTAATTTTTCAATTTGCTCAACTATAAAAGGACGCCAGTACTTCCAATAAAATTGGCTGTGAAATAACAATGCATAGTCTACTCGGGGTTCTAACGCCGTCCATGGGAGATAAAAAGCACTGGAATCGCCAATCACTTTAAGCCATGAATATTGCATGAGGTTCGTCTGACTGATCTCGGCTTTAATCTTCTAACCTTCCCACCCTACCAGTTGATCGTACATAAAGCGGATTACCCAACACCTATTCATCTTGTCAAGCATGGAGCGACAAGTATTAACAGTTTCGAGCCGTCCATCATACTAGCCTTGGTCACTTCTTGAGAGACTTGGGACTATATAGCATGTTACGGGATATGATCGGAGATAGCTATCTTAGCATGTTTGACCTTTATAGCAAAAGGACTTATTTTCTTGAATTATTCAGTAAACTTAGATTATGTCTAGTATCACTGCCCCTCTACGTAACCCATGGCTGAATCATATACAGTCATGTATGTTCTCTCGATTAAGAATAAAACTTCTCCAAGTTCATGACTTTTATTATCAATGTTTGATGAACGAAAACAAGAAGAAGATCTCTCTCTCTCTCTCTCTTCTACTTTTTTTCTTCTTCTTCTTCTTCTTCTTCTTCTTCTTCTTCTCTATATACTCCTTTTTCCTCCCTCTGTCCTCTTTCTCTTTCTCCCTCTCTCATTCTGTCTCTCTGTATGTTCGTCTTTCTCTCTCTATCTTTCTCTCTTTGTCTCTTTCTCTATCATCTTTCAGAGTTTTTTAGAGATGCCTTTTAGGAATACTCTATACGCTTACGCGATTAGCAATATTTCCTTCTTTCAAATTAAACTTGCCCTGCCCTGTTTGGTCTTTCATTACTGAAACCTTTCTAATGTTCTCAATATTTTTTTTTTATTAATGATATTAAAGCAGATAAAATCAAAATCAAACATTCTTTTCATCAACTTGAAAGCGTATCGTCCGAACGGTATTCGTTATGTGTTATTGGAACGAGTTCCTTTAAACTTAATCAGTGCGCGCTCTGAAAATGGAATTTCTTTCTGGGCACTGCTTTCTTGATTGATCAAAGAGGGGGGTTTTCAAGATCCACGCGCTTCTCGTAATCACTAGAGTATTTCGGCGCCCGCATGACAAACAAAATGATTTCGTCTCATAGAAATATTTTTCCTTTTATCAGAAAGGATTCACTAATGAAAGAAATAAGTAGGACATAACAACCAAAAAGGGAAAGCAATATCACCTCATCATACAGTTTCATTTCGTTTCATTTGCCCACAAGATTTGTCCATTTCCAATTCGTTGGTAGTATTTTCACCTTGATCTCGTTGACGTCTTCGGAAGGAAGGACGGAGGCAGATGTAGAAATACATACTTTCTAGATGCATATTGTTTTGTGTTACCGATCATCTGAGGCCCGTTTCACAAAGCCTTTTCAATGACAAATGACAAAAATCAGTAACAAATCTGCTTATAACCAATCAGAAGCAAGGATTTCAGTAGCTTATAACAAAAACTGTCATTTGTCACTGATGACAAGTTTTGTGAAACATCCCCCTGATATAGTGTTCAAAGTGCCTAGAAAAAAGAAGAAGATAATAATCAAGTGATTTCTTATTGCAACGGTCAGAGGAGGAAAAATTGTCCGATTTTCACCGATAAAACTGGAGAGTTGCTTTTAAAATAAGTTAGTGAAAATCAAGAGAGGAATTTCGGTGTGCCTTTGCTTCAATGCTTGATTCAGTTGATTGTGATGCAGTATTTTTGTTCATAAATTCCTAATTTACTATATAGCGATATTTTTTTTCTTGTTATAAACCGTGAGAAGTGTAATTAGATGTGTGGTGAATTGGCGCAAATGTGTTAAAGCAAGTGAAAAGCCATTATTCCACCGCCAAAAACATAAATGATAAGAAGGAAAGAACAATGCGGAGCTTAATTCCGCACCGCCTTTGAAAAGCATTCTTCCAAAAACAATTTGATAAACGAGACATGAATGGTTTGTGAAAAATAACTTCTTGCATTTCAGTGAGCTGATTTCATTTACAGTCTTAGTTTAATATCGGGTTATTGAAGCACTGAAGCCACCACACTCTTGAAAAATTAACCGCAATTGAATAAGACCGTTTGGTTAATAGCGAGAAAATTTGAAGTATCTTTTGATATTGAGTGAATAATATGAACATTCTCATGCATCGTTTGATAAATAAGTATAATGAAATGATTATGACGGTGATTTTGTTTAGCTGTGATGACAATAACACCCTAGAAAAAGCCGTTATGTATAATCATAACATACACGAGCTACAAATAATGAGCTTTATTGTTACTTAGTTGATATTCGTATTGGGTTTAATGAAGGAAAATAGAATGAAATGAGCGTGTATTGAAAAGAAGATATTTGAGAGGAAGTGGTGTAGATACAACGAGTAAATAGACAAAGCGTGATAATAGATGGAGATAGAGAGAACTGCAGAGAAGTCGAGAAAGATAGATTGGAGGGTAGAGAGAGAGAGAGAGAAGGGAGAAGGAGAGAGAGAGAGAGAGAGAGAGAGAGAGAAAGAAAGAAAGAAAGAGAGACAGAGAAGGTTGGGGAGATATGAAGAAAGAGAAGAGGGAGGCGAAAAATTCCATGTATTTCAGAGCGTCTTTCGAAAGATGGAAATGTGATGTATGTAAGTAAATAGAATAGAGGTGTTAAGGGATAAAGCAGATGTCTAACGGTCCACACGCTATTCTATTCACACCAATCTTATCCACACCAACCCTCCTCCCTTAGAACATTGTCACATCCATTCTGCATCCTTGAACCCGTCATCACCACACGTATAACACAGAGTTACCCCCACCCCATCCCACCCTCACCCTCACCACTCGACCTCATTAGCCAACATTTTGCCACCATGGCCCGTCGTTAATTATCCCTCGAAAAAAAGAGTAATCTGGCCATGCAGAGCTTTTATTTTCAATCCATAAGAAACGTGCCGTGTCGTGCATGGTGATTAAAGTGTTGGGAAGGTAGGAAG